GCCAAGGCAGGCTGAGGCGAGATTCGCACTGGGAATCTGGCCCACGGACCTTCTGGTTCCTTCGATTACTTTGAGCAGCAGGATCCAAGGAGGCTTGATAGGGGACGGACGTGGTGCGAGCTTCTTGGGCGATTGGTGGATGCACAGAGTTCATGAATTTGGCCGAGCGAAAAGGATATGAAGTTGAAGACTATCGGCACGCGTACCTTCGTGTGAGAAGGGGTAATCATCCAATACGTTGAAACCATAATCCGAGTCAAAGGTTTGATTTAACAGGCAAACTAAATTCAGCCCGGAACAACGGACACCGTGAAGCTCCGCCCTTTCGGATAGGATCAGGTCAGGCCAGGTAGCCCGGAGTAATTCTGTACTTGCTCAACGTTGCGATGGAGAGTTTGATTTGCGCTAGGTACCTTACCTAGGAGTGAGATTCTTCGTACAGAGAGTACAGGATTAGTAGATAAGCTGCGTACGTACACTGCACGCCATAAGTGCCCAAAGGTAAGCCGCAGTTGATTTCTTTTGCTTGTGCAGCGGCGAGGCATAGATTGATTCTATGATGTATTTCGCCAACTTGATCGTCATTTGACCCGAAAATTACTGTCCTATCGAGTGGTATGCCCAGTACCGCGGACTACGAAAGCCGATTGTCCATCTGCCTGGAGTTCGTGTCCGCCTGCACAATGACGAGATTCGCCTTCGCCCCTCCGTTTCCCTACGTGGTAAGTGTCAAGGAGGTCGGATGGCGGGGACGTAGAAGGCCACAGAAGGATTAGAAGGAGCTTCCAACTCTGCCAGTGGGAATTTAATATTTAATGGCAGGTCAGTCTTACTGCCATTCCGGGGGGCTACGGGGCCGCGGGGCACAGTGTCCAGATTAGGGAGGCACTGACAACCAGTTGAGCCCAATAGTGGACTGGCTCCGAACGGTACTTTGAACAGCTCTCCTATCCCCGACTTGCCAACCCCACCCGCGCCACCGACCCGAGTACTATGGTACATCTCACAACTCAAGCATCCACATTATGCAGGGAGTCATCATCAATGTCTTGAAGTGGCGGCCGGTGGGCTCTTCTGGACTGTATACATGAAGAGACGGTCAAGAGCATGGTAAGCTCAGGTATGTGATGAGAACTATATGGCGGCTTGCGCGTCTCGTTTGAGTTGCTCAACTACCTGTGTGGGTTTGCTGGGCACTCAAACCCAAAAGAAACGCATACATAGATGAAAACCAAGAATTACAGGCCCTGCCCGGATACAGCATCGGACCGTAACGTAAGTTACGAGTTGTAGTGTGGCCCAAAGCAACACGTACCACCAATACGTGTAACACGACCACCATCAGGAGGATATTGTTAGGGCGACCGCCAGCCGTACGAGATCAGGCACGATCACCGGACGGTGGAGGAGACAGAAGGGGCCTGGCAATTCTCACTGGTGTCTCAGCCTCCCTCGCACGCATCAGCGGCGACCTGACACGACTCTCTGCCAGACGTTGTGCTGCCTCGTGTTTCCAGTATGGGGCCGATTATGGCTGCCTCCCTCCGCCACCCCTTTTTTTGGACCCTCTCCCTCTTTATTTTGGGAATGTGTGGACCATGGACATGATTCCGACAGAGGCGAAGGGTGCGTGGATCACTTACGGTGGGCTTTGTCATTCGAGGACCAGCACGCACCGAGGCTGAGGCATGCATTGGTTATGTTTTTGTGCACTATTTTGGTTCGCGTTGGTGCAACGCTTCGTGCATGTCCAATGCGAAGACTCCTTCGTATTGGCGTATGTTGGTGCATTAGTAGGCTTATTACGGATCACCACCAAAGTTATCCAGCCGTCTCCGCCTCCGCCACCCACGCCAGTGCAGCCGCCCTCTTGTCTGGCAAAGTACCGATCTCCCATTGCTCACCCAGCCCGAAGTACCTCACAGAGCGTGCTTACCAGGTGCTTCTTGACACAGCTTGTGGCTCTTAGTTCTCAATAAGAGACATGTCGATCCACCCTCAACCCTTTGCCCATCACATCCCATATTGCCAAGTTCCTGATGGGATCGACCACTTGATCTGAACGATCTAACCATATCATGCCCTATCCCAATGTGAGCTATTGGCTTGTGGCAGGTCAGGTCCTATAGTCCACCAAATCTATGAACTGTGCAGCAATGGAAGGTGCTACCCTGCCCTGTCTTTTGCAACACATCCTCGACAGTCTAGCACATTTCAAACCAATTTGCTGGTGGAACACATGGGCCAGCCAGCCACTCTCAGCCCAATGGCTCGGTGTCCAAGCTACAATGGGACTCGGTCCTTCGTCCCGTCGGCGGCCCTTGCAACCTCCTGCATTGTCGGATCGCCTCCCCGCCGTTAGAATGTTGCGCTACGGACCGTGTTTGGTCCTTCCGAGAATCACTCGGTGCCACATTTTGGCCTTCGCCTCATGCCCTTGTCAAACCATTCCCTCCAGAACGAGATGGGCGGGAATCTGGTCAATCTATGGAGGTCCACTTCAATAGTCATGTCCCTGCTCTCAAGCCACACTTTTTTAACAGCCAATCAGAGTGGGTGTGGTACATGAGGTACTTTACATCACTTACCTCCACTAAAAGCTTAAGATCTATAGCACATCAAACACTGCTAGCAAATAGCGGCTGGCGCTATTAGCCTCTGAAGACCTCTGGATATACAGGGAGCTACAGTGGAGCTAAGGAACAAGTGCCCTAAAGAGCTTGTACTGCCAAGTAGCTAGCAGGGGAGCGAGTGTGTGGCGTCATTAGCGTGGGACATGACTTTTGAAATGGACCTCCGTACCTGGCAGATAGATGGCTTGAGTAGATGGAACTGAGAATTGCCAAAATCCAGAGTCAACATAGGAATGTATGTCGGGACTGATGGTTGTGGTTTGAGTTATTTTCGCACTGGCGGTGCATAAGCTGCATTTAAGATAGTCACATAAGCCGCCACAAGGTGAGCGATACAGAGTACTGCTCAACGAAGAGTTCCATTCCAGTTCACTGGCCTCACTCTAGTGGTCATTGATGCCCACACCAACCCACTAGCTCCTCGAATAACCAAGTCAATAGCCCCTACCGGCCAGACGGTTCACACGATAGACGCACGAATTTATCCATGGGAGGTAATGTCAGCAAGCCACGGCGAGTTTTCTCGACGTTTAGCCTCCGAGATCATGACAACCCCAATGTCGGCCATACGTGCAATATCCCGCCAAGATCCAAGGGAAATTCTCATTTCATCTTGTCTTGTCTCATATCATCCCCAGGCTGTAGTTGCGCTGCCCGGTCAAAAACACTCACCTGCATGTGAGAGTGAAATGTCCAAGCCCTAGCCCAACTCCACGGAACAAGCTGGGAACCATAAACCCCCACATCATAACCCTACGTTCCCATCCAAGGAGGGTATCCCCCATCGTTTCTCACGCCTGCAACCAGTCGGTTGACATCCACTATCTCATTCACCGCCTAGTTCTGACCTCGAATGGAGTCTATGTTGCCAACACAAAACCACTTCCAGTGCCCACATGTATTGGACATGGAAGCTTCCTACCCCGGCCTCGGCCCCTAAGAGGACCATGCCATCCGATCGGTGCTGCAAAGGCGGAGCAAGTGGACGGGCTCTTGCTCTCGAACGGAAAGTAGTATCCCGTTGTCATCAGCAACACCTTACTAGAAAATCGAGTCAGGTAATACTTTATATTCGAACAGTAATGCCATCGGATGCTTCTATATCCCGCTATACAAACCCCAGAGGACCCAGAGGAGAAACGACGAGCATATGGAGAAACACAATGTAGGTAGAGTTAATTGTTTTGTAAGAGAAATGGTAACACTGAGCGGCTGTTGATGCACCTACTGCATTGCGTACCTAGGAAGTAGCAGAGCATCCCCCGACCTTGTCGGTACATCCCCAGGCGTTGAAACCAGCCTCAATGCGCTAACTCACTTTTCCACTAGTGGATGTTCGGGAAGGTGTCTGTCATTCACCGTTTTTTCTCGCGACAACCATGGCAATCGTAATAGTCGTCCTCGATGGCGCCTGATGGCGAGTCTGTGATCATGGTTCAGCTATCACTGGATCTGATCTTGATTCGAGATTAATTTGACTAAGAAAAGCCCAGACATTAACCCACGCCGAGGATTGTGTGTGATTGTGGAATTCGTTTGTTAAGTTGAGCCACTCACTATTGCTGGACCCCTGCTCAATACACTACCTAACCTTTCCAGTCAACCCAATTACTGACATATAACCACCAAGCGCAAGTGTGTCGATCATGCCACTCTCGACATTGTACCTTTCGCCTATTCTATTCTCCACAATAAAGCTTTAGATTGAACTTCTCCTCTCATATTTTTCCCGGTTCCAACACCCGCACTCCAGGGTAGCTGGGGTGGTGATAACTGTCACCCTGTTGTCAAGATGCCAGCTCACCTACCCAGGGTCACACCGCTAAAGTGCCCAATGTCAGATGCATTGCAGTCTGAAGTTGTCTTTTCCCGTTTCTGATTAGGCGTACCCGATAGTAATATGTGAATAGGTAAGGCATTGTTGGATTTAGTACATTTCACATCTAGCATGGTAGTCGGTGACAGGTGAATAACCATGCTCCTCGACATTTGACGAGCAGGCTAAGAATTGCAATGATCGAATGAGTTAGGCCCAGTGGATCTAAACAGTACCACCCGCGCAACTCTTGAATCATCCAGTAGTCATCAGCACAGAGCCTAGGGACTGGAAGTGAGTTGACAGGGGGTATGGAACTCCATGAGTAGGAATAAGCACAGAGTAGATTCACGCTCATCTCTCTGGCCGAATGCTGAGAGGAATATTTGTTACCTCCTTGCCTAACGGTCTAATTAGGCCCAGGTCAACCCTGTCGTCACGAGAATCCGATTACCTAAGTTAAATAGCGGGGGACTGGAGCTTGCCGTACAACCCCGCCTTGAGACCTGAGACTAATCTGCGAGTTGAACCACCATGATATTCAACGATCCGGACAGATAGCTCAGTGGTAGAGGTATGTTCAAAATGCCCCGCAATGCAGCAGCATCCAAAGACTAACAATAATGATAGCGAGGGATTGCAGATCCCTAGGTCGCGTGTTCGATCCACGCTCGGTCCTTGACCCTATACTTTTTGCCCATCTTCATTCCACCTCCCTAAGGCATTCCAGCCGTTGGTACCGGACATGGTTACGGAGGATACACCCCGTTTTATAAAACAGCTGTACTCAATATGCGTCCAACGTTGAGCATGCAGACCATGGAAATATATTGTTTGAGAATTTTACGTTCTTCTGGCTCCCTACTTCCCTCCATCCTTACTTGGTCTGACGTTCTCCTCGAAGACAGCCAATATTACGACCTGGGGTCACTTACTCTTAGCTGGAGTGAGATATAGCAGCATATGTTACCCTGAGAGCTAGGCATTGTTCCAAGGCGATAACAAGCAGCAGCACAGCCTCAAACCCTTTTCTCGACATGAGCCGCATTTTTAGATTTCGGTCAAACTTGGAGGATCATGAAATGCCCTTTTATCTAGGTCGATAAGTTGCAACAGCTTACCTACTTCGTGGTCTTGTGGACTCGATTGACCTGTGGCGGTGCAATTGCCTCGACAAGCTTCCAGCCCAACCAGCCCAGCTGCGCCACCCTGCGTCATTCTCGGCCAACAGCGCCCCCGCCTTCGCCGGGCCTTGGCAGCCCCTCCCAATCTGGCTGCCTTCTCAGAGGCCGTCATGTTGCTCACATGACATCGATAGCCGCCTCCAAACCAATACCGACCACGGCGGCTCCGTTCACGACTGCACCCCAACCACATCTGCCTCGCCACCGCGCGCCTCAAGACAGTCCACTAAGAGCCTTGATTTTGTCTCTACAATCATTGTCAACATGTCGAACCGCCAGCAAGCCCGCGACATGCAAGTCGAGTTCCAGGCACGATTCCAGGCCAAGCAGGCTCGCCGCGAAGCCCAAAAGGCCGCGAAACAGGATCCCATCCTCAAGAAGCAGATCCAAGAGCTCCTCAAAAAGGGCGAGACCCAGAAGGCCTACCAAAAGGCTAAGGTCCTGCTCTCCAAGCAGGCTCTTGCTCAGCAGATGGACCAGATGGCCGACATGGCTGAGCTGTCAGCCGCCCAGATCCAGGCCAACAACTCCATGAACCGCATGACACACATGATGGCCTCGTCCTCCCGTACTATGAACATTGCTCAGAAGAACGCTAATCCCGAGAAGGTATGTTTATTCGCTTTTGTTCGATGCCCCAAGATCGATGTGGTCGGACTAACTCATGCGAAATTTAGACCCTCGTCACCCTCGAGCAGTTCAAGCAGCAAAACGAAGAATATGCCATGTCCAACGGCATCTACCAGGACGCAATTACACAATCGACCTCCGTCCAGGTCGGTGAAGATGCTGTCCACGAGCTCCTTGGCAAGCTGGCCGACGACGCTGGCCTCGAGTTTGACCAGCAGCTGCGCCAGGCTGCGCCGTCCACCGTCGACCCTCAGGCCGCCGCCGAGCCTACCGCCGAGGAAGAGGACAAGTTGCAGCAGAGGCTGCGGGCTCTGAGGGCTTAGATGGAGAGGCTGCATAGATCTACGCTTATTTAAAGAGGTGTTTGTGTCATGACATGGGTTGCGCTCAAAGTTTAAACGGTTGATATCTTCAGTTACTGGACACAGGACATGGCGTTGAAGGGGTTTGGGAGGAGGCACAGACAGTTGGTTTTTTATTGTTATGAATGCGTCAAACACATCATTGTCTACTTCATGCGCCGCACATTGAGCTCGTAATTTCCTGGGTCCTCAGCCTGTGACATATATTCATTCCCCTTTTGTTTCGACATGTCTATCATGCTCAAGCGTACCATCATCACATGACATGTCTAACCTGAAAACCCTGATGTAAATTACATGTAGAGACTCGCCACAGCTGTGATATCCCGTTTGATCATCTCCTGTGCTTGTTGCATTTTCTGGTACAACTCAGGGTCACCCACGATTCTTGCAGCATTCTTGACCTCCCTGCACGTCTCGTCTAAGCGGGTAATGGTCCGCACAATTGTGCCTTCCAGCACATCCGTCAAGCCTGTAATATTTTTAAAGCTCATTCCCCTGGCCCACTCGTAGACGACCTCCATGAGGCCGAACCGTGGCCGCGAGACGAAATCGTTGGAGTCGTCTGCTGACTGAATAACCTGCAATCTTGTCTGAACATCATTAACCTTCTCCGAGATGGCAACGATGGTATCGCGGCCCTTCTCTAGGTTTCCAGTCAAGGTAGGCTCCATGTCTGTCTTCTCCTGGAACACAAATGCTGAAAGAAGTGCCGCGATTTCAGCTGGCTCGTAATCGGCAAGGACGTTGTCGAGGATAAGCTCAGTGAGGACTAACTCATCGCCGGAATGGACCTCACAGGCAACCTTGCCCTTGAGCTGGATACGTGTTGCATCATCAATGAAATCAAGCTCCTTCAGCACCTGAACGCGCTGCTCATAATCGGGGAGCAATTGAAGATTCTGGTCTGATAGGGATTGCTTCAGCTGAGAAATGTGCTCTTTGATGAGCCACTCATCATGGCACATGGCAAACTAGAGTGCGAATTAGTACCAACTCACATGCATAAAACGGGGAATATGCTCACGTGTTTCAAGAATTCAGGACACTTGGTAGCAGGCGAGTTCGTAATCGTCTTAACCAGGTCGATTCTCTGCTCGACCATCTCCTGGAGCTGTAGCTGCTTGATTCGGCTGAAGTCTGCCTCGTCCATTCTGTCATCCCAGGAGCTGCAAATTTCGTGAAGTCGATCCTTGGCCTGGTGATAGCCATCTCCACCTTGGAAAATTTCTGGTATGATGCCCTTGGAGACCCATTTAGTCAAACATTCAACATCGCTCAGGGGCACATGCAGAGTCTTGGTCTGCACACGCTTCTTCGCCTTGGGGAGTTGATGAAGCAACTTTCTCATAGAGGGGATAAATGGCAGCTGGTCAGTTGCATCGCGTCGCTCTCTGAGAGATTTAATAGCACAGATGTGAAGGGTTGGATCCTCCGTTGTCCCCTTGTTGCTGAGGCCATCAGCTAAGAGAATACCCACAGAGCGGATGCCGTCCCAGTTGAAAACGATAAGGCGATGCTGGGAGAACATCCTTCGTCCGATGGGAATCATCAATAGACCCTTGTACAGATCTGTCGTGAGTTTCTTGTAGTCTTGAGCGGCTTGATGGCATTCATCCATAGAAACATCACATATACTGCATGAATCTCGCTTGACCTTTGCTAGATCCGCCTGTGCCAGCTTGACATCCTTCTCGTGTTCGGGCAGCAGTTGCTGAGTTGCGTGTTCTGAGAAACTGCGCTTAATCATTTCCTCAATCTTCAATGCTTCAACTCGGAGCAGGTTCAGAATCATGTTGTAGGTCAGCCTAAACTGCGATCGCAGCTTCGAGGGCTCCCCCAGTATCATGTTTCGCAGTTCTGCAACCGGCGGGGCGTCATCGGAACTTCCAGGGGGCACAATGATAACCGATCCAACAGGGTCCAAACCACGTCGGCCGGCTCGACCAGCCATCTGTGTGTATTCGCCAGGTAATAGGTTTCGGAATGAATGGCCGTCATGCTTCCGATACCCGGAGAAGACAACCGTTCGAGTAGGAAGATTGAGACCCATGGCGAAGGTCTCTGTGGCAAAAAGCACCTTGACTAGTGTCTGAGCAAACAAAATCTCGACCAGTTCCTTCACGATGGGCAAGAGGCCACCATGATGCACGGCAATGCCCCGGCTCAAGAGTTCTCGCAGTCTGATAATCTGGGGAAGATCCCTGTCTTCGGGCTTCAGCCGCGCAACTGACTTCTCAATGATCATGTGAATGTGGCTTTTCTCGGAGGCGGTGCAGAAGTCCTGATTGCTGAGGGCGTCGGCGTTTTCTTCACATCGCTTCTTGGAGAAGACAAAGATGCAGGCTGGAAGAAGGCTGTTCTTTCTGAGAAACTGGACAAGATGAACCCAAAGGTTCTTGTCTTGTGCCGCCGATGAGAATCCTCCAGTACGCCCACCGCGTCCCATATGGCCAGGGTTGTGGCTTGCTCGGGGAGGCCCTCCACGGCCCCTTTGTTGTTGTCCGCCTCCTCGCTGTCCGCCCCCTCGCTGTGCACCTCCACGTTGAACGCCTCTCTGGGCGCCTCCTCGCTGAGTACCGCCTCGCTGTCCGCCCCGGGGATTACCCCCTCGAGTGGCGATGGTAGTCTCTACAGGCTTTTGTTTGTCTTTGCCCTGCATCACCTGGTGTGCTTCCTTCCATCCTTTCTCGATGAATTTCTTTTCCGAATCCACGATCTTGTGGATATCCTTCCCTGCCCAGAGATAGTGTTCCAGAGGCACAGGTCTCTTGGGGGTCGAGATGACATAGATATCCTTCTGCTTCGTTCTTCCAACCCAGGAAGCGAACTCGTAGGTATTGGGGACTGTGGCGGACAGGAGAATGAGTGACACATGCTCCGGTAACATGATGATGACCTCCTCCCATACCACACCTCGTTCAAGGTCATTGACATAGTGAACTTCGTCGAAGATAACAAACTCAACGTCTCGAATGACGTCGGCTCCACGATAAAGCATGCTTCGTAGAATCTCTGTGGTCATGATCAAGCAGCTAGCCTCGGGATTAATTTGGACATCACCAGTCAGGATGCCAACCTCATCAAAAGTTTGCCGGAAATCACGGAACTTCTGGTTGCTCAGCGCCTTGATGGGGGACGTATATATGGCCTTAGTCATGTGCTTGGCCGCTAGGGCAATGGCATACTCTGCCACCACGGTCTTGCCGGCCGAAGTATGAGCTGCCACAAAGACGGAGTCGCCGTTCTCGAGGTGGTAGACTGCCTCTTTCTGAAAAGTGTCGAGTTCAAACGGCCAGTCTTTGGCCATGTCCGGCACCAGATCTCTGAAGTTTGACATGTCATGGGTGATGTCCACCATGTGTGCCCACTCACGGCCCGCCTTTCTCGCGCTCGAAGCAGCAAGTACACCATGGGGCTCTAAGGCCGGGAATTCGACTGGCAGGATGTCATCGATATCGTCATCTTCCTCATCTTCTTGGCCATCAGTCATGAGGTCAGGC